TATAATTGTTAATAAGAATTATATATACATAGTTTTCCATATTTGTATGGACTGTGATTTGTGGTTTTAAAGTTCATCTCCGTAATCGATGATGATAAATTGCACTTACAAATATTTATGTGCATGTGTAGCAGTGCAAATATGTAGTACTTATATTAACGTTAGCCTTCTCAGATAAATAATATCATTGCTCATGTTTATTTTTAACAGGAAAATGTCTTCAGTTTCCTTTAAACAAAATTTACGATCATCTGAAGGTTCAATTGACGAGTGGCATTCTGATCTGCTCGGCTGCTGTTCGGAGCCTCTTCTCTGTATGCCCCCTAAAGTTCACTCGTTAATTTTCCTTGAAAGTAAATTGCTTTGCCTTTTAATTTCGAGTCCTCCTTCGTATGATTCAGTAGCTTTTATACGGCAGGCTTAAAAACCATGCTTTTCCCATGTGGCACGTTTTCCAGGATTGCTTCTGTAGCAACAAAGAGACATATCTGTAAGTTTGCTTTAAAAATCTAATTTTTGCAAGTCTAATATAATAAGCACGCTTGCACAACCATTTGCTATTTGTGCGGTTTCTCTCTAAAGTACGCATCGAAAGAGAGATTAGTGAGTCTACTAAAAAGTTTGAAACGTTCTCCAAAAGTTATAACACAGACTACATGAGACTTTATTCCCACTTCTTTTCCATAATAAATACAAAATTTTTACAATCTCTTCTAAGTTCACCATGTTAAGCATATTACCCTCATGTAGCAATTTGAAATTGCACCTGACCAAGTATAAGAATATTTTGGAAACCATATTATATCTATTTTATTTTATTTTTTTCCAAATTTGTAAACTTTGGAGATTTAGCCTATTTTCCAAGTGCTTTTCCATCATTATTTGTAAAAGAAGAAAACATCTTGGTACAGGGCATTAGTGATATTTATATTTAGTTCTTTTGAATTTTCTAGAGCCAGTAGAATCAACTTATTGATACTTTCGTGAGGCACCCTTCAACTTCAACAACAAAGCATTGTTACACCTGTTTGCACAATTAAAAATATCTTTAGGATCCTACTAATTAATTGCCTCTGAATTTGCAGCTTCAGCAGATGCCTGTAATGACCTGATGGCTTATTCTTTAATATTCTCATGCTGCTGCTACACTTTTTACGTCAGAAGGAAACTTCGTACGACGCTAAACATCAAGGTAATTGCAAAGAAGTCCTTTCTGCTTTTGTCTAGAAAAACACCGGCTAATCCAAAATATTCATAATTTGATTGTACGATTGTATGTAAATCTACTGCAGGGAGGACTATTTGTTGATTTTCTTGCTCACCTCATGTGTTGTTGTTGTGCCCTTGTCCAAGAATGGCGAGAAATAGAAGCTCGTCAGTTTAAAGGTAGCTAAAAGTACTATCTCCACTCTATGTTTGATTCATGGTGCCAAAACAACAANAAAAAAAAAAAAAAAAAAGCATGGTTTGAATTTTTGCAGGCCCTCACGTGACAAGAACAAGCCCTCCAACTATTCAATACATAGAATATTAGATAGGCAGTTTATGTAAAAAACATGGATGTTCGTTCGGACCATATCCGTTTGGAATGTTTTGAGTTCTATGTGTGTCTTATCACTTTCTGTACAGGACATTTTCTCCTAGTTGTGGATGTCTAACATGTCACGTATTCTTTGAGGTCGTTGTGCTTTCACATGGTTACAGTTTGGTTATTCTTTGTATAAAATGCCCTCTCACGCTCTCTTTTTTTTTGTTCGTTTTTTGGTCTTCTCGGCATAATTCATGGGTCTATAGTTTGTGTTGCGACAAAGATGAATGTGAAATCTCGTTGTACATTGTGTCAACGGTGGACCCAAAGATTTTTCACGAGCTAGTGCAAAAAATAATAGTTGAAATAAATTTTCAACAATGTTACACGAATTACTTCTCTGAACAATTAAACAAATAATTGACGCAAATGGGTCCTGGGGTTCCCTATCCAATTCACCTTAGGCTTATTGCTAATAATAAAATGGTAATAGGGTTTGGTTATTTGATATCGCGTTTTTATTGTACAAAGAATATGTTACCATCCATACTCTTTTCATGTTTTGTAGTAAGTTATAAACGAGTTGTTTTGATATACACATTTTATTAATTTATGAAAAACTAAAAACGTCATCATTTTAGTTTCTGGCAATTATTTAAAAATTTTATAGAAACAAAAATACAAATTTTTTCTATAATTTTTTAATTAAGACTCGTGTTAACAATATTGGTTGGATATAAATTATAGTTAGCACCAGAAATTCAGTCGCGCTGGCCTATATATGGATCCACAAGTGCATTGTGTTAATATCATCGATACCATGTATTTACTTGTTCAAAACGGTTTTTGAGAGGTTAAACTTCAAATTAGCGTATAATCGAAAAAAATAAATGAGCTTGTATCACATTGACAGATAATGAAAACTGTTAGAAACATCAAAATCATCACTTTATTCATTTGACCAGTGTTATATACATAATTGTAATGGATATCTATTGCTATATAATAGCAATAAGGAAAAATATAAAAAAAGCATGAAGATTCTTGTCCATAATTTCACTTTTTACTATTATGGGTATTTTTTTTTTAAATTTTTGTTTATCCCACCTTAGACAATTTTTTGAATTTTAAAAAGTCAATGTGCAAAATATCCTAAGAGAAAATCTAATGTGATTTATTTAGGGGAAGATAATTAGGTAGGATATACATTAATTAGTTATGAGAGATAAATAAGAAAAATTTATCTTATCAAAAAAGATAGTTGTGCATTTAGATAAACTATTAAAAGCGAAACTATTACTATAAATAAACTCAATTATAATCCATAACCCAATATTAAATCGCCACTACGAATAAACAATGTTTGAGATTACATGTACAGATTGAACAATACATGAAAGAAAAAAACTAATTCGAAATTGCTTTATTTAAGTTCCATATCCAATTAGACATCCTTTTTATATTGTTTGTTTAATTTGGAATTGCTTTATTTAAGTTCAAAGCCTTTTCATCTATTACAAATTATCACTAATTTAAATATTTTATCATAATAATGAGACACTATGATATAAAATTATCACAGGTTATTAAATTTCTCAGACATGAACATGAAACATAAGATAGAATAATATATTAATCGAAATAATAAAACAAAGTATACGGGTCCAAAATTTTTATAAATTTTCATAAGTAATAAGTAGCAAACTAAATATTATATTAATCAAGTATTGTAATTTTTTCTATAGTATTTTGTCAAATTCGAATACAAGTAAATCTTGAAGTACCACCGGAAAAATTAGTTTATGATATCAGTTAGATATTAAAAAATCTGAGGTATATTTTGTACAAATATATTTAATTAAATAAAAAATAAAATTTATTTTATAATGCAACGAAAAACAATTTTTTGCAATTCACGTGTCAGACTTATCTGACTAAAACTTATTAATCATTAATAATCTAAAGATTCATAATTAGGTATTTAATTTTTTAATTGCGAATATGAAGATATCAAATAGAACATCATCAAAAGTTTTTCGTATAGAAAGTAGCAAATGGCTTGATTCAATGGCAACACATCCCTTCCAAGGACCAGCTAGCAGACTTTCTCACTAAAGCTCTCCAAGATTAGCATGTTCAACATACATGCTACGTAGTTAATAGCATATAGAACTAGTTGTTGGCTCGTGTATTTGCACCGAAAGTTATATGATAGAAAAAAAAACAATTGTAAAAATCATAACATAATTATTGAAAAAAATATGAAATAACGTCTAAATATTATTAAACATTTCTTTATATACAACGTTCATAGTTTTTCTATCGTTACAATCTCCATCACCACAAACCATTATTTTCAAACATCTCCAATTCGTGACTCTAGATAGAATCGGAATTATTAATCAGTGTTGGTGTTTGGCACGATGGAGATACCGCTGTGACATCAGACGATGTTCCTACAATAATTAAAATGATAAAGTTAATTTGTGCACTACAATTTACAAATCGGTATTATGTCACTATGATGTGTATTAAACTTAAAGACATTATGGTTTTAGTCGTCTAAATAATCTAATTTGAAATTATAACAAATAACAATTGGAAGAATAATAACAAATTTCACAAATAATACCTATAAATAAAATAATAGATAAAAAGAAATGTTGTGTTTACTTTTATCCAAACTAGTACAGAGCCCGTGCGATGCACGGGGTGCACAATTTTAAGGCTATTTATCCAGGCTTATAATTATATACATGAATAAAGAAAAATGTACCGGATATATATAGTACGTGACCCGTGCAAAGCACGAGATATATTTATTTGGAGAATATTATATTATAAGATGCAATATTTAATAAAAGTTTATAATACGCAAGAAAATTGTACAATGTTCAATAAAAGTTTTATAATATTCAAGTGGAGTCTTAAAGTCTCTTGTACATTAAGACTACTGACAAAATAATATTTTAATCAATGAGTTTCCTTTCCTTGTAGCCAAATTGTGAATGTGATTTGAGAAGTACAACAAATCGATATATAGCTGACTTGCTTTTTTCATTGTAGTTTTTTTTCTTTTTCTTTTTTATAATGAATTTAAAGATATTCTAAAATATAGCAAAGATTAATTTTTTTATTACAATAAGAAATTTTACTAAATATAAACTCTCAATCTATGGTGTTAATCAACGTTTAAGTCTAAAAAATTAAGAATTTTTACCTCTTTTAATCAACATTTAAGTCTAAAAAACAATAGAGTTATTATAAAAAAAATTTCTACATCTTCTAAAACATTAAATATGAGCATGTTAGGGCTAGCTTGTAAAATAATTAATATATTATCTCACTAAAACATTTATACTAATAAAAATTTAATTTTAGCATATATATTTATCCCTTGATATAAGAGAAAGTAACAGTTTTACTTATTGTTGTTCACCATATAATATTTAATTATTATTTTATTATATAATACTGTTAAATAGTGTAGTAGAATTGTTATAAAATTATATATATATATATATATTTTTACAACATGGATTTAATATTTTTTTATGATTTGATAATATAAACAAATCTATACTTAACTTTGACAAATAAAATAAATAAATACTTTAGTAAGTATTTAATGTATATACTAAATAGGAATATATTTGGTATAATCAAATACCAAATATAATCAAATAAGTCAAAATGTACATTTTTATTTGGTATTTGATTTTTTTATTATTAAATTTTTTTTTATTATACTTACCTTTTTAAAATAAAAAATTAAATAAATCAATTAAATGAATAATATTTTATAATACCAAAATAGTAATGACATGTAATGCAGTTGACTTTTCTGGATAGTAAATATAGTAAATAGAATCTCCTTTTATATAAATATAGATTGTATAATACGGAAATAGTAATGTAATAAATGTTGTTGACTTTTCTTTATATTAAATTTGGTAAATGGTATACCTTTTAATATAAGTATAAATTAATACGGCCTTTTTTTTTTAAATAAATAACCAAACCAAGAGGAATGTTATTGGGCCTAATATAATTATTGGAACAACATTTACAACATTAATATGTATCAGTATAATTGCGCCGACATTTTAAGCCCAAAAAATAACCAACAAATAAATAAGTCTAGAAATAGCCTGAACAACCTTTGCGACTATCACCTCCACCCTCCCACCCCCTCATTTGACAACACCATCACCCATTTTCTCAATCACTCAACCAGCAAATGAAACAGAAGGGAATAAAAAAACTCAAAAGTACATATGAGGAAAAGGGGAAATACTGGACAAGAGGGAGAAAAAAAATTCGAACATGTTAAAAGAAATTGAACATCCTCACTTATGTGGATCAACACAAATGAAAATCTTAAAACAAACAATCTAATTTCACAAAAAATTGAGAAAGGAAAATATTATTTCGGTTTAGATCTCCCCATCTCGTAAGAACTCACCGCCGTTACCTTCAAATCTCGTCACCACCTCAAAACCCTCTCTGAAAATTCAGAGAATCCGACGCAGAGGCAACTCTTGAAATAAATTGGTGATCTATGAATTTAATTTCGAGTGAGATTGGTCGTGGTAAGACTTCTGTGTTTGATAATTGCACAAAGTGAAAAATAAATAAAACAATAGGAGAAAACGAGAAACAAAAAAAAGTGAAATCATAAGGCAGAACCGTGGGAAATAAAAAGAAGAAAGACAAGTAACTGCAACATCCCTCCAACAATAATCAGTTATTAGATTTTAAATATGACAATTAAAAAAGAATGAAAAAAGGTAAAAGTTGAATAATGACATGTTGAGTCAAAACAGCAATAAAATTTTCTTAACGGATAAAGCGTGTCTTTAATTCCCATTCTAAGTCAACCCATGTTAGCTAGCTATTCTCGAAATTGTGAGCCCAAAAAGCAAAGTTTTTGTGATCCCTAAATTAATCGAGTCCAGCCCGTATAAGCTCTCGAATTTGTCAGCCCCAAATTAATATATTTAACGCAGCCCAACCCATATATAGAGATTATCGAACTTGTAAGAGGCAGTAAGCACTTCTACGGGTTTAAATAGCAGGCAAACCCTAGTACGTCGTCAATCTCGCCATTTCTTTCGATTTTATTTTATGTCGGCGCATCTCTAGTCTTTTCTCTCCCACTCAAACCGAACCATAATCAATTTTCTTCAAAGATTCGCCGATAATCAACCAAATTCTTTGTTTCTATAGGCTATTATTCTCCGTTCCAAAATTGAAAAAATAACTGAAAATGTATTTTC